AAACTTTGAGCCAACTAACTAAATCTTGAAAAAGAAAAAAATATAGACTGGAAGGCTGTGAGTTATTGCAATGAAAATGGGAAAATCATAATGCAAAGCAGATTTTACAGACACTACAGATACATTATAGTGGAGCATTAACTTTAAAGACAATACCTGTTTAGTATTCTGCAAATATTCTTATCCAAACACTATTCTGTGCTCCAAAATATTTAAGTTCAGAAATGATCTTTGGAAATGAGACCTTAGGCTGCAACAATAATACCTATACTAATTAAACCATAGGTTAAATCAAGCCACAAAATAGAGTCTTCATAACATCACTAAAATTAGATTGGTGCTGTGTTTTTAAATGTTATTTTTTCGAATGAATTTACTCTAACAGTGCCTATTTGTTTTGGTTTTAAAGCTTAAATGATGTGCCACTGGAAGCAATACTGACTTGGCAGATACTTGCTTCTATAGTGTGATTTGAGGGGTGTTTTGAGAGAAGGTTCATTTGAACCTAATTGTCTCTACCACTGGCACTCTTATTATCTGTTAAACCGTTGCTCAGATGAATTTATCAAGATAATTTCAATGAACCAGACATCAACTAGAGAAAACAAAATCAAGAGCAAAGAATGTTTCCCAGAAGAGCTGGACATCGTAAGCATCTCTACAAATGTGACGTAGGGTCGGTGCATACCAACCTAAAGGAAGAGGAAAAAAAAGGAAGAGATATTTGTTACCTATTTTCTGATTTGGGGTAAAGAAGGACTAGTTCTCTGTGCACTAAATTCCCATCTTTACATGTAATAAAAACAAAATAGTCAAGAAGCAGTTACATTTCCTTGAGTTGATTTAAAATATTTTCTTTTTATGAAGATAGAAATGTATTTTAGAAAAAATAATTGACTGAATCGTCTTATTAAAGAGTGGTGATGGACAGGCTCACACCTGTAATCCCAGCCTTTGGGAGGCCAAGGCAGTTGGATCATCTGAGGTCAGGAGTTAGAGACCAAACTGGCCAACATAGTGAAATCCCATCTCTATTAAAAATATAAAAAACTTAACCAGGCGTGGTGATAATCCCAGCTACTTGGGAGGCTGAAGCAGACGAATTGCTTGAACCCAGGAGGTGGAGGTTGAGGTTGCAGTGAGCCAAGATCGCACAATGCACTCCACCCTAGGTGACAAGAGCAAACTCCATCTCAAAAAAAAAAAGAGTGGCATTATCTAATAGTAAGTGTACTTGCTTACCCTTGTGGGCAATGCTTGCTAAGGACTCAAGCAAGATGGAAAAGCTGCTTTATGTAAATTACATCTAAAAATTATTAATTATTGTAGGTGAGTGTTGTGGAGTAAATTGATTTTTATTACAGATAGACAGACGATTGTCTTCTTGTGACTGGAGTAGAAGATCACAAGGTTTTTGCCAAAGGATTCATATGAACTCAAGCAATCATAATCTTGTTTGGTGTGGGGACCACATGGAGGTAAGAATAAGGCAGTTCTCAGGAGTGTCCCAGAACTCTTTTTTTTTCTCTTTTCCCACATTCTTACCAAAGTAGAGAGGTAGAATATTAGGTGCAAATCATGAAAGCTGGCAGGAGAACTATGAGGACTGTGATCTCTGCTGATACCATAGACATGTTCTAGAAAATTGAAGAATTTGAACACTGAAGCAATGAGAAGAGAGAAAAGAACCCAGGATTCTCTCTTCAAAGTTATTTCTGAAAAGGATGTTTTATAACAGTGAAGGGTATACCTAGTGTACATAAGAATGTGTAAGTTGGTTGTGTTGCATATACGTGTATGTTTAAGTATGCTCTAAAGAAATAAACTGTAAATATTAGTATGATGTTTCATTTGACTTTTCTATCAGAGATGCTTTGTTCATGTTTTTTAATTAAAAGGATAGCATGCTAATATCTGGTATACACAGAATTGTTTAAAAGTACACACAGAAGCAGCCTGGCTACTTAGGGCAGCCTACTCTGTGTGGGTTACCTTTTATTCTGAATTATTTGAACAATAGATTTATAAACATATTTATATCAAATAAAAATACATAAATCACACATGGTCAGTGGATTTACAACAGCATCAAAATTTAGCACTCCCCAGTTTTCACAAATTCAACTCAAATGCCAGTAGGTCACAGATTCAGAAACCTTCAGGTATAGCATAAAAGAGAGAAGCATCCTGGTGAGTACTCCTGGCAAAGGGAGGACTCAGGACTCACTTGGAGGGGATTTCTCTACCTAGCTCCAGGGTTTTGTTACCTAGTGGGAATGTCAGCCCTGATTTTCCCAGAGAAACAGAAAATTCTGGGGGTTTAAAATGTAAAATCTTGTAATTTTAAATACTGGCTACTAGTTTTAATTTAAAAACATGTATAGACCAGACAAATTTTACATCTGAGATAGAAGAATACCAGTTTCACCTGATTGATTGAGTTTTAGTTGAATCTCTATATTTATTCACATTTTTTGAATTGGTTAAAGTCCAAATGAGCTGGCTTCAAAAAAGAGTTCAGACTTCTAACATAAATGGGCAAATGGGCTAAAGTTTACCTCTTCATGAAACATTGATAAGAATTTATAAATAATCCTTTAGGATTTTTTTTGTTCCCAAAGAGTAGAAAATTGAATGAATTATGAACCTGAAAAGTATAAATTCATAATATAAGCCAGTTGACTCGGTCTCAAATGCATTGATTTATTTAATCTGCAATAGATGATTTTGATTCTTATAAAACCGAATTCACTGACTAAGCTACTCTTGCCCTGCACAGATATAGGATAAGAGGTCTGAGGCAACCATAGCCTACAGCAGTTTGGATTTGGTTTATAAATATTTTAAAGTTGTCAGAAATACCTCAGAGTTGTACAGGGCCAGAGATTAAGAGATTCAATCCAAGAAAGGAAAGGAAAAAATCCACTAACGATATCAAAAATTGGACAAAGGATGACATTAATGATACTGCTTGCATTTTCCTCTGGCAGTTCATTTGAGGTGTGTGTGCAGGGTGGGGTAGGGAAGGAAGTATATTTTCTTTGAAAATAGAAATATCTTTCTGAAGGGAGCCTTAGCTTTATTGAAGCCTGAAGCATGGTCACTGTTGTTTAAATAAGCAATAGCTAGTCATGGTAAAACTTGTGTTTGAATTTTAATTTGAAAGTTGCAAAATTTTGATGTTTAAAAATTGAGTTTTCCAAAACTGGATAATTTTTATAGTGATAGAAAACCGTAATAAATGCCAAGTGTTTGCTGATTAACCTAAACATTGTTTCTCAGAAGCTTTTAGATTCTTCAAATAGAAATTTTAAGAAATTGCTAGTCTACCCTCTATATAATAAGTTTGTAAATCAATAGAAGAAAAATAATTGCATAATGTTAAAGGAAGGTGTACTATTAGTTATACGTTCATTTTATATTGTATTTTATATGAACAGATATGTATGAATATAATAATTAATTAAATAAAAGAAATCACCAATAATAAAAATGGAAATTCACAGCTTCTAAAATTTTAACAACTTGTCTTAATTTTAGGTATGTTGATTAGTGTGTTTCAAGTCAATTCTGAAACTCAGAAAGAGAGAATTTTAAGGAGACATTAATTAGATTAAATAACTACAATACCTTTTATAGAAAATATATGTGTATGCACATAAATATACATCTGTGAGGATTACTGTCATGGAAAGCCAAAGAGTAACTTTACAAGAAAGGAAATTATTTGCAATCATGAAAGCTGTAATTAGGCAAGCATAAGGTGGCACAAAGAAATCTCTCTAAATTTCTTAGAGGAAAACAATGTCCAGGAATTGGATTCAGTCTTTATTGCATTTATGAAAAGTGTAGCCAGTTTTGTATAGATGCTTAAGTTACTTTAAATATTATTTCCTAAAAGTGCTTGAAACTTCATTATGTTATCTGAGGGAGACCAAAGTCACTGTGGAATGAGGATGTGAGAATTATTGGGAAACCGTTGGAAAATGGTAAACACTCTTCAGTCAGTGGTAACTGCCATGGGGAATATTGCCTTCTTATATTTGAAGTTTTGATTGCAAGTGATAAAACAAAGAGATGAACAAAAGCAAACAAAAAGCCTGTAAGATACATTGCAGCATTTTTAGCCATCTCTGATTCTTATTCAAGAAATAAAAAGTGAAAAACCTTCTTAATAATGTAAAGCATTTTATGCCAGACATGCATTGTATTCTTTAAATATTGTGAAACATGTCAATGTCTGCAATTAGTTCTCATGTACATACATGAGGATTCACCATTTTTTGTGATTAGGACACTGCATATTAGCATGCATTTCAGAGAACATTATTGCATTAGAGTTCTAAAAGTGAAAATTCTTGGAATTTAAAACCGCATGTGGCAAAATCTTCTTGGCCGAAAGATTCACAGTATCTTATCAAATACAAAATAATCTGCATATCAAATGAAGCAGATATCTATCAAAATTAAGAAAGCAAGGTGCTCGACATGTTGAAGGTCTTCCATTGACACTTCTTAGCAAGGTTTTACCAATGAAGAATCATTTCATAAAAGACTTAGTATAGGGTCACACATAGGTCTGTGTTTGGTTATTATTGTACTGAATCATATTTTTATCATAATTGTTTCTTCAGTATTCTATGCTTAAGAGATCTGCTAATATGAGTGGCTAAAGGATAAATAAAGCTGACAAAAGTGAAGATATTTTTTGGCATTAAGATAATTATAGATCATTACATGGTAGGGATAGCCAATAGTTCTAAAGTAATATGATTAAATAAAACAATTTAAAACTGTAATTCACTCAGCTTTTTAATATTTTACTATTTCTCCTTTGTTGCTTCAAAGCTATGAATTTCAAGATTTATTTGTCAGTATTCTCTATATTTTCTGCTGTACACAGTATTTGTGGGCTATGGCAACCAATCCCCATGGGCTTTCTTTTGCTTTAATTTGCATAAACACAGGCATCATATGAATATTCAGTGAGTGGCTTTGCATTAAGTAAGTGCCCTTAATCAGCTTTTCAGTTCAGTTTTATTGGTTACACGCACAGTCAGTTATTTCATCCAGAATATCTGAAGGCCCTACAAACTAACCAGGTAAGGATTGTAATTCCTTGATGCATTTAATGAAAGAATATTATCATTTGATTACATAGGTTCTGGAGAATGCTAAAAACATGATGGATTTTTTTTTCCCTATGTTTTTTTCTTCCCTTGGTGGTCAGGTGGATGCATGATTCTCTAATTTGCATAAACATCAGCTCTATGAATAATTCATCAGGGTTATTTTAAACACTAGGCTTCTACTTTGGATGGCACTAGGGTACCACCATTTGATTGGCTGGATGCTGTTTTCATCACCAGCAGAATTCCTATAACATGAAAGCACCTAAAGGAGCTGAATTGAATATACTGTATTTGTTTTTTGAAAAATATGTTATCTTTTCAAAGCAAATTGTGCTGCTTTTCCCCTTCCCTACTATTAGAGCTTCTAGCTTTTCATGATAAATACATTACAAGCTCAAATGTGGCTATTTGTAGACTTGACCGGTGTCTGTGATTTCTGGAGAATGGGGTAGCAGCTGTATTCTTCTGAACATGCATAAACATGAGCGACATGTAAATAAGAAACTATCAAATGCATATGGAGCCCTGGACAGCTCCATTGCTAGGTTCCATCTATTTTCTTTATCAGAATCTTCTGCTTGAATAACTTTCAGACTGTTTTATCTATTTTAAAATGTTATAAACAATTATAGTACTATATATGCATATAATAAGTATATATGATCTGACAAATTATTTCTTGTTGAATATGTTATTTATGGTTTCTTCTTGGCCCACCTACAGATTTTTTAAATTTGGTAGCTCTTTGTAACACAATAGTGGCAAGAGAAGTGTTCATCAAGAATGGCCAGGATAATTAATTTAAATATTAGGGTGTAATTCACTCCCATAATTTACTAAAAAGAAATTGTGCCTTTCTTTATGTTTGTGGAGATGAGGAATATGGAATTTCAAGAAATTCTTTGTTAGTCTCTTGAACATCACCCATTTGCCTTTCTGGTCTCAGTCCTCACTGACAAGATTCTCATTGCAAACATTTGTGATACCGAAACATCACAGACACACAGGATAGGAGAATGGTGCAAATTGAATTTAGTCTTTGGCACATTTCATTTTTGTTTTCCCACCCAATAGAGAAATATTACACAAATAAGATGCTAAGCAATTTCTGTTATAAATGGTGTATTAAATATTATATGCAATAAATTAATCTATATAATTAACTATAAAATACTCGACATTCACTTCATTTCCTATACATTGTATAAATGAAAATATAAAAGACATTTTCAATAAGGAATAAAGAAGGCTGAAAATTTCTCAGTATTTAATAGGTTTTCCATATGAAAATTTAAATATTCCCTTTAAATCAATTTTGTATTCTATTGTTCTTCACTGATTTTTTTGTAAATAATATGCAAATACATGAGTTACATATGCTGCTAAAACCAAAGAAAAATAAAATCCTTTTTACTTTTTTTTCTAGCTTTCTATTCATCTATTGATAAAGTTGGGCTAGTTCCTATTTTCCTTTATTTGAATTATTGGTAATTAGGTGAAGGTCTATTTCTATTTTCTTTCCTTCTTTTTCTTCTTTTTTTTTTTCTGCTATACCTTTGGACAAAAATGCTAACGAAACAGTTCTGAGACAATACTCCTTCACTCATGACCAACATTCATAAACACATTGGACATATTTATTATATTGTCTATTGTCAAATGCTCCATAATTTAAAAAATGAAGTAAGGAATTCAAAACTAGAATTGTTCAAAATAAGAGGAAATTGCACCTTTTGCTCAGAATTCCATGTGACTATGTTAGGAATTGTGATTCACATGTAATTATAAATAGTAATTTAAATTTCACATCTGCAGTGTGCTATGTTTAATTAAATCTTGCAAGATTCAATATGGATGATGTTTAATTATCAGCCATTAAATGTTTACAGCTGTAATAAACACTACGCAATCTTTACCATTACTATATGAAGATTGTAGATGTGGAACCATTTAGCCCAAGATGTTCATTTAAGTGATGCTCATTCTACTGAACACTTTTCAGAAAACCAGCTAAATATATATATATCTCCAATATGTATCTTTCATTTGTTTCAAAATAATCCAAATCATTTTTAAACAATAAATATGTTATAATTTCAGAAGACATTCCTATTCTTCTCTAGATCTGTAAATATATGTGTATAATTCTATTTTATGTGTGTATAATTTTGAAAATGAAAAATTCTCATCCAATTTTTTTTGACTAATTGTGAAATGTCCAATTTAATATGATAAACTAAATTCCTTTATGTTTTTGCCATTTGTATTATTTGCAGAAATCACTGAAGCTTCTTTAAAGAAAATGTATTTTTAATAAAGTTGACAACTGCACAGCTAGTGAGTGACCAAAGAATTTACCTTTCATTTCAGTAGGGGATTCTTCCTAGAAGGACAAGAATCATCTTGTATTGTATAAACCTTGTTTAAAGAAAAGAAAGTATTCAGTTAAATTTTAAAAAGGAATTATCACATCAATGAAATTAAAATTATAATACATTACATTTCTAAGGAGGAAAAATAATTTTATCTTGCAAATGCAGTCTTATTTCATGTACTGCTTTTATATTTTCAGACATTTTTAAAAGAAAATCAGTGAGGCATAATATATATACATTAATACTGTTAATCAAAAGGTATTTTCATTAGCATCTATCTGATCATCTTGCATGTGGTGACCAATAGAATCCATACACTATTATCTATAATTTCACATCCTTATTTTAATCTTCTGATTACGTTGTCAAAAAATTGTTAGTGAGGTATTTAAGCAATTAAGTTTGTGTATATATCATTGCTAAATCCACTGGTAGTTAAGGAAAACTGCAACCAACTAGTGCTTTAGTCTGAAAAGGATAAAACCTAAATTAATCTACATGAAGTGCAGTACTGAATGAGGAACATTCATCTGCACAAAAGTTTGGAACTGAATGATATCTTAAGGCAAGAAATATCAATTAGCTCATAAAGATCCCCTAGCAAATTCACGCATCTTTATGAGAGACTGTTCTCAATGAAGATAGGATAACTCCTTTTAATCTAACTGGTGGGAGCAAGTGTATGACTTGAATACCTATTTTCAAATCCTTCCACCCAGTAGCACTCATCTCACAGGAACCCAATCATTCAGATTTGCAAAATTACTTAAGCTTTCCTTTTATTGTACTGAATGGATACTGTTTAAATTTAGATAAACTAAATAAGTCAGGCTTAACCTTGTGTGTGAGTTAGCCAGTTAAGTTTCTTAATATAGAAAAGGATGAGAAGGAGGAGGGGTGTGGCCTACTGTTGAGATTTTCTGTTCTGATTGGAGCTCCCTCTAATCAGCTGAACCATTCTAATTGTTCAACTCCATCAGTTAGAACTGTATACTTGATTTTTTTAATAGGGTTAAATTCTATAAAGTTATTGGGTAACCCGAATTTGTACAGCTACTCTTAAAATATGATCCTAATTATAATTAGGTTATCAGCCAATCTAAATAAAAATGCTATAAGCTTTGGTAGTGTATTTTTTAATTAATTAAAATTTTAATTCAGACTCTGTTTGAAATTTCCCAGTGGCATTCTGAACTTAGTGATTAGGAAAGCACATAAGTAATATTTGTAGTTAAAATTCCATTTTAAATATTAATTATTTGGGGTGAAAATAAACCACTTTCTGTCTCCTTTTATCATACTATTTATCAAAAGCATATATGACATATTGATAGTCTACCCAGAATGGATACTTAAAACAGCAAAACTTTTAAAAGAAATTTTTAATGATGGAGGCTCTTTTAGGATTACTATATGTTTTTCTTGTCTTAGTTTATATAGTGCATTAAATATATAGATTTTTCAGGAGGCTGAGGCAGGAGAATTGCCTGAACCCAGGAGGCGGAGGTTGTGGTGAGCCGAGATTGTGCCATTGCACTCCAGCCTGGGTAACAAGAGTGAAACTCCGTCTCAAAAAAAAAAAAAAAAAAAAAAATATATATATATAGATTTTTAGTGGTGAATTTTGAATAAAGATCTGGATTCAAATAGTATTATATATAGTATTTTTTACATTTCTACTTAAAAGTAAGGTTGGTTAAAAATTGAGGCATTATATTTTTTTATCAAGCGGTATCAAAATTGTATTAGCCTTATAAAATGTGTTGAGCAGTTTTCCTTTTTCCATTTTCTCTCACACAAACTGTATGTGAATTATCCATTTCATCAAGTTTAGTATGAATTGCCTATAAATCCATCTGGGCCATGTATCTTTTTGGGAGGAATCTTTTTTTTTATTCAATTTCTTAAGTGGTAGTGATAAATTGGGTTATTTATTTCTTATTGCATGTATTTTGATTATTTCTATTTTTCTAAGAAATTGTTCTTTTCATCTGTTTTCAATTTCATAACATAAGCCTATTCATTGCATTTCTTATGACATAAAACTTGTACTGTATGACCAATATGCCTCCTTTTTATTTTGTATTTTATTTATCTGTGATTTTCTATTTTTTTTTTTCCTGTTGGATAGTCTTCTAAGAGTTTTGTCTATTACCAGTCCTTTCAATCTAATAGTTTTGGGTTTTGCATATTACTGATAATATGTCCTTGTTCTTTATTTTATTGATTTTTGATCTTTAAAGCTTTGTGGTCTTGGATGCCTTAGAGGTATCTCTAGGAATTGTACCAGCTCTAAAATTCTATGATTCTATGAAAAGCTATTCTATGTTTAGAAGCCAATGGAACTCTCACATATACATAAAAGGAGGTGGGATATTCGTTTTTATTGGGCAAATATGTTTATGTAGATATCCTTTGTCCAGAGTAATCACAACTAGACTATTTGACATTGTCATGGGTAGACTTTAGCCTTTGAGGAAATCTACTTGGTAAAGGCTCTTGCAACTCATGATAATAATATAATTTCTAAAATAATTTTTAGGAAGTCTTTCATTTTATTTAGACAGAGAGAACTCAAATAATCTACAGAGTAGC